TCTTCTTCTTCTTCTTTTCTTCTTCTTCTTCTTCTTCTTCTTCTCCTCCTCCTTCTTCTTCTTCTTCTTCTTCTTCTTCTTCTTCTTCTTCTTCTTCTTCTTCTTCTTCTTCTTCTTCTTCTTCTTCTTCTTCTTCTTTTCATCTTCTTATTTGTCTACTACTTTATCTTTTTTTTTTGGTTCTTTTTTTTTCTTTTTCATCTTCCTTTTTTTTCTTTCTTTTTAACTTTTTCCCCCATACTTTTTTTTTTTTTAAATTTTCTTCTGCTCCTCCTCCCACATCTTTTTTTCCATCTTTTCTTTCAACTCTTTTCATTCTTTTTCTTCTGCTGCTGGTTACACATTATGCTCCATTTATAACTAGGCTGCAATATCTGTGCTGTGTGACACAACACAAGAGATTTTAGCAAATTCCTAAATAGTCAATCTTTACGACATGCTTGGGGGGGGGGGGGGGATCTAATCTTGTTTTCCCCATGGGGCCCAAGAACCCACACAAGTTTAAAATCAAGCAATACGTTCGACTTCCTTTCATCAGGTTACATATGTCCAGGAGTCTTGACCCTCCAAAAAGTCGCAGAAAACACCAACTCCAACGCTCCGGCAATGGATCCTATAGATCTCTATTACAAGTTGTGCGCCAAGAGATGGAAGTGATCAGGCAGTCCGCTATGTTGAGTTTAACATGTGACAGCCGCTGTCGCCAAGGGAGAAATGTCGCTGTCGTGTGACCTGAGACAGACTGTTTCCTGGCGACCTTAGTCTGCTTCTTTGTACAATAAAAGATCACAAAATTCTGACCTTGTCCTAACAGAATTGACTAAGAGTGTTCTTCTCTAGGCAGTTAAAAAAAAAATGACAACATGATGACAGAAACTGTTCTTCTATAAAACGTCGGACCCAAGAGTCCTTACCTGAGTCCCATCAAAGCCAATGGCTGGATTGCTGTCGCAGAAAGTCGGGGACTCCTCAAAGTAGACCAGGTCCCGCCTGCTGGGTTTCTTGTGGTTGTGGTTAGCCGGGATGAAATTATATCTCGCCTTTTTATTGGCCCAGCCTTGTCCGGAGTTTTCTGTCAACAGAACCGCAAAAGTAATCACATTAAAAGGAGACAATGGAAGCAAGAAACAATGGACATAAACGTCTGTGGCTGGCGATAAGACTGTTATCTTACTGACATGGTTTCTTGGCCCGTGCTTGTCGGCGGCTGATGATTTAAATTAGTTGTAATTCGCTTTTAATATAGACAACCCCTACCCTATCCAAGAAAGATCTAATCAGCGATGACTATGACAGACACAACAAACAACTAGCACCATATATCCTACACGCGGTGGCCACCGCTGGACTTGGGTGGACCCCAGAGTCCTGCTTAATGGACAATTATGATTACGACAAACATTGTTGTGTTCCTCATTGTGCGGGACATCCCAGGAAAGTACTAACAGGCAATATCCAGTCCTAGAACTCCAGTTCTGCCACTGTATAAGTGTATGGGTCGACCACTCTCAGAACAGGTAGGACATTTGATGCGGTCGATCATCGAGAGTCTGCTGTTGTAACCAATCAACTCAGTCAACATTTATTTCTGGTCCAACAGACAGCGCTCGCTCTAGCAGCTGCCGGACGAACAGGTGAAGCAGAAGAAGGGAAAGGGTGCCCGTTGAAGCCTTAGACACATCAAACATTCAGTGTTTAACCTCTAAAACACTTGGCTCTAGGCGGATGATGTGGACAACATCAGACCGGCCGCCTTTACTTCACATGGCATTACCTAATTTACATTTTGAAATATATTTTAACCGCCCCCCCCCCCACCTCCAAATGCAACTATAATTTCCAGGTTAGAACTCTGGTGTCACAACATGTGATGGTAGATGGCGGTGTCACAACATGTGATGGTAGATGGCGGTGTCACAACATGTGATGGTAGATGGCGGTGTCACAACATGTGATAGTAGATGGTGGTGTCACAACATGTGATGGTAGATGGCGGTGTCACAACATGTGATAGTAGATGGCGGTGTCACAACATGTGATGGTAGATGGCGGTGTCACAACATGTGATAGTAGATGAGGATGTCACAACAGGTGATGGTAGAATACTGTGTCATAACATGTGATGGTAGATGACGGTGTCCTAACATGTGATGATAAAAGACGGTGTCACAACATGTGATGGTAGATGACGATGTCACAACATGTGATGGTAGACGATGGTGTCAAAACATGTGATGGTAGATGATGGTGTCATAACAAGTGATGGTAGATGACGGTGTCATAACATGTGATAGTTAATGATGGTGCCATAACATGTGCTGGCAGATGACGGTTTCACAACATGTGATGGTAGATGATGGTGTCACAACATGTGATAGTAGATGAGGATGTCAAAACAGGTGATGGTAGAATACTGTGTCATAATATGTGATGGTAGATGACGGTGTCCTAACATGTGATGATAAAAGACGGTGTCACAACATGTGATGGTAGATGACGATGTCACAACATGTGATGGTAGATGATGGTGTCAAAACATGTGATGGTAGATGATGGTGTCATAACAAGTGATGGTAGATGACGGTGTCATAACATGTGATGGTAGATGACGGTGTCACAACATGTGATAGTAGATGACGGTGCCGCAACATTTGATTGTAGATGACTGTGTGGCAACATGTGATTGTAGATGACTGTGTCGCAACATGTGATGGTAGATGACTGTGTCGCAACATATGATTGTAGATGATAGTGTCATAACATGTGATGTCAGATAACGGTGTCAAAACATGTGATGGTAGACAATGGTGTCATAACATGTGATGATAGATGACGGTGTCACAACATGTGATGGTAGATAACGTTTTCATAACATGTGATGATAGATGACGGTGTCACAACATGTGATGGTAGATGACGGTGTCACAACATGTGATGGTAGATGACGGTTATAATATGTGATGGTAGATGACCGCTTAATAACATGTGATGGTAGATTACGGTATCAGCATTCGTCAGTTTCCACAGTAGCAACGGAGTAGGTCCCAGGGGCCAGGGAGTCAGTCAGTTGTGTAGATTGCTCAGGAATATTGAGGACAGTTGGTAGTCTTATCGTTAAAACAAGAATTTGCCGTGTAAACTAAATAGTTAAAACAAGAAGTTGCCGTGCAAACTAAATCGTTAAAATAAGAAGTTGCCGTACAAACTAAATCGTTAAAATAACAATTTGCCGTGCAAACTAAATCGTTAAAATAAGAAGTTGCCGTGCAAACACAATTACAGGAGAACAGGAAACCAAATGGACAAGCAGAAATCAAATAACAAGCAAGCAGCAGTGGCAGGGTTACTGTCGACTACAACATAACTACACCAAGATAACGTCTGGCAAGCTCTCGGACAAACAACTAACAAATAAAAACAATGACAACTGACAAAGACAACCATGATACTGAGTGTGTACTAACCTTGTTCGGCTGTCTGTCCATCGTTACCTACAATAGAATAAAGAAAGTGCAAACTTTGCAGTTGATTCAAGTGCGCGACCATCAGCAACAATTTCATTTGATTTATTTAAAAAAAAAATTAACGTTTGAATGACAAGAATCCGATAGCCTGCTGATTGTCATTATAGAGCTGATACACACAGCGACAGACAAACTATTGTACACACAGCACCGTTATATCACGCCAAGACAAGCTATACAACCACACAGCACCGTGATATCACGTCAAAACAATCTATACAACCACACAGCACCGTCATATCACGTCAAGACAAGCTATACAACCAGAAAGCACCGTGATATCACGTCAGAACAAGCTATAAAACCACACAGCACCGTCATATCACGTCAAGACAAGCTATACAACCACACAGTACCGTGATATCACGTCAAGACAAGCTATACAACCACACAGCACCGTCATATCACGTCAAGACAAGCTATACAACCAGAAAGCACCGTGATATCACGTCAGAACAAGCTATAAAACCACACAGCACCGTGATATCACGTCAAGACAAGCTATACAACCACACAGCACCGTGATATCACGTCAAGGTGAGCAATACAACCACACAGCACCGTGATATCATGTCAAGGTGAGCAATACAACCACACAGCACCGTGATATCACGTCAAGGCGAGCTATACAACCATTCCATCAATCAGAACCTCCTGACTTTATACAGGTTTTGTTCTGTCACTGAACTTTGACCTTAAGTCACATGTTAAACAAAAGACTGTAGTCAGCAACCCTGTGACCACTGAATGCTGCAGTTACAACCAGGACAGGAAACAACAACTGATGTGTACACACACATGTCGTAGAAGACAAGTCAAGATTTAAGCTGACAGAATTTAAAACAAGAGCAATTACCGAAAAGGAACAATCGACGAGCTTCTACTTCGACATCCCCACAAGGCTAGGAGGGTGGGATGATATACTTCGACATCCCCACAAGGCTAGGAGGGTGGGATGATATACTTCGACATCCCCACAAGGCTAGGAGGGTGGGATGATATACTTCGACATCTCCACAAGGCTAGGAGGGTGGGATGATATACTTCGACATCCCCACAAGGCTAGGAGGGTGGGATGATATACTTCGACATCCCCACAAGGCTAGGAGGGTGGGATGATATACTTCGACATCCCACAAGGCTAGGAGGGTGGCATGATATACTTCGACATCCCCACAAGGCTAGGAGGGTGGGATGATATACTTCGACATCCCCACAAGGCTAGGAGGGTGGGATGATATACTTCGACATCCCCACAAGGCTAGGAGGGTGGGATGATATACTTCGACATCCCCACAAGGCTAGGAGGGTGGGATGATATACTTCGACATCCCCACAAGGCTAGGAGGGTGGGATGATATACTTCGAAATCCCCACAAGGCTAGGAGGGTGGGATGATATACTTCGACACACGAAACGTGACAATTTGAAAAGATAAACTTATTAGTCAGATCTGAAGTACATGTCTGACTGGAAGGGATACACAAGCGGATGACAAGAACAGATGTCAACAATAACAAACGTGATTTAAACAACTGATCCCTTTCAACTCAATCGCCTTGTCTCTATAACATTAGGGTTTAAAACACACACACACACACACACACACACACACACACAATACAAACACACACCTTCCAGGAGCAGACGAAAGCCACAAACTGAGTGTGACAACAGATGCAAACAATCAAACGTTGCCTTGGTAACAGCAGAAAACCAAGGACCGGCAGGGTTTTGCAAAACGACATTCCGGCCACAGCAATTGACACGAGTCTCTAGAGATGATGAGATATGGCTAATCATGATCGCCCACGTTTATCCGCGCGGCACATATTGATACGTGCCAATAACCAAAATCAACCCTCCGACCCAGCTTACAGCAATATGTATACATCACCAGGTTACAACTCCAAAAACAAGCACACCAACACATAACTGTTATCATCGTGCGGTGCATGGCAGTAGCCTCTGAAGCACATTTATTTATGTTGCCCCAACGTACCCTAACACCCCGTCGAAGCCTCCGCCCATGTAACGGATTCAACACGGTCCCTGTAATATATATTCTATGAGATGTATTGTTTTCTAATACTCAAAGACACATTGCTTAGGTCAGCTTTCTTCTGACATCTTATCTGTTCCTGATCTGTTGGCCTTTCTTGGGCACACTTTGAAGAGAGCACAAATGTTAATAACAATATCAGAGGTCTACTACCAACGTCGTAATACACTACCTCTGCCTCATCTTTTAGCTGAGTTCATGAGGCTCAGGGTTGATTTTCTCCTGCTGCACGTATTACCGGATGTTCTCGGACAGAGACAAGACGAAATTGGTGACTTTGCAAACGGTACTGTGAGATACGAAGTCTATTTACATAGTCGCTGCGGTAGCATAATTAGAGCAGTTAGCATACCTGGACGACCAAGTGGTAAGCTTACGGTTGGTTTATCGGACACATGCTAGACTTTGTTGGCAGGTGGCAGAGGGACACTGGCAGACAATTCGGACACGATAGACATTGAGGGATAAGATTTTCTTTCAAACTAGACACCCGGATCACTAAGACTGAGGCCCATCCCCCACGACGTTCCGGAATATATCAAACCTCTAAAGGTGCTTTGCTGGAAACAAAATGGTCACGTTTAACCAGCATTACTGAATTCGGAGCCTTTGGTTATAATTCTGACTATGTTTTGTGTGCCATATAAAATGATATAGCATTGCACGCCACTGAGAACCCTGTAAAGGAATCTTGCAATGGGATGCGATCAACGAAGACACACCCAGTTTCTATCCGGACCAGTGAGAAGTCGACTACGGGCGAGATAATTTGAAACCCTTTGTGAAATGTCTCCAAAGCTACCGCACGTGGACTGATCACCAATCCTATCAAACAGCGTGCCTCTTTGTACTTTTCAGTGAAATATTAACTCTTCAAAGTGGTGACTAGTAGATGGGTTAAATTCTCAAATATCGTTATGGTTGTAATTTCAGATGTAACAGTGAATTTGCCACAAATGTTTCTAAACATTTCTTTTATTTAACGCCGCAATCACTAAATGTTAGCTTGCTGGGGTCATATCCCTTCAAATAATTCTTTTCTTACGCACCTCAAACTAATAGGAGACCCACAACGGATCGTCAATTATCGGGAAGGGTGTTGGGGGAATAGTAACATGGCGACTACACTTAATTCTAATTAAAAAGAAAAAGCCAGGTAGTTGAGGGGACGAAACCTGCGTTAGTGAAATGTGTAAAAGGGACCAGGGAGCGTTGGTGAAATGTGTGGTGCGGTGGAACGGACCAGGGAGCGTTGGTGAAATGTGTGGTGCTTTAGAACGGATCAGGGAGCGTAAGTCATATGTGAGAGCAACGGACCAGGGAGCGTTGGTCAAATGTGTGGTGCGGTAGAACGGAACCAGGGAGCGTTGGTCAAATGTGTGGTGCGGTGGAACGGACCAGGAAGCGTTGGTCAAATCCGTGGTGCGGTAAAACGGACTAGGGAGCGTTGGTTAATTGTGTGGTGCGGTGGAACAGACCAGGAAGCGTTAGTCAAATGTGTGGTGCAATGGACCAGCGAGAGTTAGTCACATGTGTGGTGCAGTAAAACGGACCAGGGAGCGCTGGTCAAATGACACAAACAGTACAACAGGCAGACACAAACAGTATAAAAGGCTCACACAAACAGTATAAAGGGCAAACAAAAGCAGTACAACAGGCAGACACAAACAGTACAACAGGTAGACACAAACAGTATAAGAGCTTACAAAAACAGTATAAAGACCTGACACAAACAGTACAACAGACATACACAAACAGTGTAAAAGGCTGACACAAACAGTATAAAAGGCAAACACAAACAGTATAAAAGGCAGACACAAACAGTATAAAAGGCAGACACAAACAGTAAAAAAAGCCAGAAACAAACAGTATAAAAGGCAGACACAAACAGTATAAAAGGCAGACACAATCATTATAAAACTCAGACACAAACAGTACAACAGGCTGACACAAACAGTATAAAAGGCAGACACAAACAGTATTAAAGGCTCACACAAACAGTATAAAAGGCAGACACAAACAGTATAAAAGGCTGACACACACAGTATAAAAGGCTGACACAAACAGTATAAAAGGCAGACACAAACAGTATAAAAGGCTGACACAAACAGTATAAAAGGCTGAAACAAACAGTACAACAGGCAGTGACAAAAAGTATAAAAGGCTGACACAAATAGTAAAAAATACAGACACAAACAGTATAAAAGGCTGACACAAACAGTACAACAGGCAGTGACAAACAGTATAAAAGGCTGACACAAACAGTATAAAAGGCTGACACAAACAGTATAAAAGGCAGACACAAACAGTATAAAAGGCTGACACAAACAGTATAAAAGGCTGACACAAACAGTATAAAAGGCTGACACAAACAGTATAACAGGCTGACACAAACAGTATACAAGGCTGACACAAACAGTATAAAAGGCTGACACAAACAGTATAAAAGGCAGACACAAACAGTATAAAAGGCTGACACAAACAGTATAAAAGGCTGACACAAACAGTATAAAAGGATGACACAAACAGTACAACAGGCAGAAACAAACAGTATAAAAACCTGACACAAACAGTATCAAAGGCTGACACAAAGAGTACAACAGGCAGACACAAACAGTATAAAAGGTTGACACAAACAGTATAAAAGGCTGACACAAACAGTACAACAGGAAGACACAAACAGTATAAAAGGCTGACACAAACAGTAAAACCGGCAGACACAAGCTGTTTAAAAAACTGACTCAAACAGTATAAAACGCTGACACAAACAGTATAAAGACCTGACACAAACAGTATAAAAGGCTGACACAAACAGTATAAAAGGCTGACACAAACAGTATAAAAGGCTGACACAAACAGTATAAAAGGCTGACACAAACAGTACAACAGGCAGACACAAACAGTATAAAAGGCTGACACAAACAGTATAAAAGGCTGACACAAACAGTATAAAAGGCTGACACAAACAGTATAAAAGGCTGACACAAACAGTATAAAGACTGACACAAACAGTATAAAAGGCAGACACAAACAGTATAAAAGGCTGACACAAACAGTATAAAAGGCTGACACAAACAGTATAAAAAGCTGAAACAAAAAGTATAAAGGCTGACACAAACAGTATTAAAGGCTGACACAAACAGTATAAATGGCTGACACAAAACAGTACAAAAAGGCTGACAAAAAACAGTATAAAAAACAGTATAAAGGCTGACACAAACAGTATTAAAGGCTGACACAAAACAGTATAAAAGGCTGACACAAAACAGTATAAAGAATTGACATAAACAGTATAAAAGGCTGACACAAACAGTATAAAAGGCTGACAAAAACAGTATAAAAGGCTGACACAAACAGTACAACAGGCAGACACAAAACAGTAGAAAAAGGTGACACACAAACAGTACAACAGGCAGACACAAACAGTATAAAAGGCTGACACAAACAGTATAAAAGGCTGACACAAACAGTACAACAGGCAGACACAAACAGTATAAAAGGCTGACACAAACAGTATAAAAGGCTGACACAAACAGTATAAAAGGCAGACACAAACAGTATAAAATGCTGACACAAACAGTATAAAAGGCTGACACAAACAGTTATAAAAGGCAGACACAAACAGTATAAATAATTGACACAAACTGTACAACAGGCAGACACAAACAGTATAAACATCTGACACAAACAGTAATATAGGCAGACACAAACAGTATACAAAGCTGACACAAACAGAATTAAAGACTGACACAAACAGAATGAAAGGCAGACACAAACAGTATTAAAGGCTGACACAAACAGTATAAAAGGCAGACACAAACAGTATCAAAGGCAGACACAAACAGTATTAAAGGCTGACACAAACAGTATAAAAGGCTGACACAAACAGTACAACAGGCACACACAAACAGTATAAAAGGCAGACACAAACAGTATAAAAGGCTAACACAAAGAGTATAAAAGGCAGACACAAACAGTATAAATGGCTGACACAAACAGTATAAAAGGCTGACAAAAACAGTATAAAAAGCTGAAACAAAAAGTATAAAGGCTGACACAAACAGTACAACAGGAAGGAACAATCAGTACAACAGGCAGACACAAACAGTATAAAAGGCTGACACAAACAGTACAACAGGCAGACACAAACATTATAAAAGGCTAACACAAACAGTACAACAGGCAGACACAAACAGTATAAAAGGCTAACACAAACAGTACAACAGGCAAACACAAACAGTATAAAAGGCTAACACAAAGAGTATAAAAGGCTGACACAAACAGTATAAATGGCTGACACAATCAGTATAAAAGGCTGACACAAACAGTATAAAGACTTGACACAATATGTACAACAGGCAGACACAAACAGTATAAAAGGATTACACAAACAGTATAAAAGGCTGACACAAATAGTATAAAAAGCTAAAACAAAAAGTATAAAGGCTGACACACACAGTATTAAAGGCTGACACAAACAGTATAAATGGCTGACACAAACATTACAACAGGCTGACAAAAACAGTATAAAAAGCTGAAACAAAAAGTATTAAAGGCCGATTCAAACAGTTTAAAAGGCTGACACAAACAGTATAAAGAATTGACATAAACGGTATAAAAGGTTGACACAAACAGTATAAAAGGCTGACAAAAACAGTATAAAAGGCTGACACAAACATTACAACAGGCAGACACAAACAGTAGAAAAGGTTAACACAAACAGTACAACAGGCAGACACAAACAGTATAAAAGGCTAACACAAACAGTATAAAAGGCTAACACAAACAGTACAACAGGCAGACACAAACAGTATAAAAGGCTAACACAAAGAGTATAAAAGGCTGACACAAACAGTATAAAAGGCAGACACAAACAGTATAAAAAGCTGACACAAACAGTATAAAAGGCTGACACAAACAGTTTAAAAGGCAGACACAAACAGTATAAATACTTGACACAATCTGTACAACAGGCAGACACAAACAGTATAAACATCTGACACAAACAGTAATATAGGCAGACACAAACAGTATACAAAGCTGACACAAACAGAATTAAAGACTGACACAAACAGAATGAAAGGCAGACACAAACAGTATTAAAGGCTGACACAAACAGTATTAAAGGCTGACACAAACAGTATAAAAGGCAGACACAAACATTATAAAAGGCTGACACAAACAGTAAAAAAGGCTGACACAAACAGTACAACAGGCTGAAACAAACAGTACAAACGGCTGACACAAACAGTATAAAAGGCAGACACAAACAGTATTAAAGGCTGACAAAAACAGTACAAAAGGCTGACACAAACAGTACAACAGGCAGACACAAACAGTATAAAAGGCTAACACAAAGAGTATAAAAGGCAGACACAAACAGTATAAATGGCTGACACAAACAGTATAAAAGGCTGACAAAAACAGTATAAAAAAGCTGAAACAAAAAGTATAAAGGCTGACACAAACAGTACAACAGGAAGGAACTATCAGTATAAAAGGGTGACACAAACAGTATAAAAATCTGACACAAACAGTACAACAGGCAGACACAAAGAGTATAAAAGGCTGACACAAACTGTACAACAGGCAGACAGAAACAGTATAAAGAATTGACATAAACAGTATAAAAGGCTAACACAAACAGTGTAAAAGGCTGACACAAACAGTATAAAGACCTAATACAAACAGAATAAAAGGCTGACACAAACAGAATAAAAGGCTGACACAAATAGAATAAAAGGCTGATACAAACAGTATAAAAGGCAGACACAAACAGAATAAAAGGCTGACACAAACAGTATAAAAGGCTGACACAAACAGAATAAAAGGCAGATACGAACAGTAGAAAGGGTAGACACAAAGCATAACATAAGGTTCGATTAGCACACAGTGCTGATATAGAACATTTGCCAAGAGACAAGACGAATTACCAGGGAGTATTCTAGAGGCTCCATCAAAGCGATCCTTAAGAGCCGTGCCGACATCCCTGAAGTTAGGCAGCGTCATCCAGCAGGTCTTGATGGTGCAGCTTCCAGACATCCCGTGACACTTGCAGTCCTGTTGTAGGCTAGAGCTGACGTGCTGCAGATATAGAGGTGGGTCAGACAGTCGTTAAGATACTGCTCCCTGCTAGGATACTGCTCCCAGCTAGGATACTGCTCCCTGCTAGGATACTGCTCCCAGCTAGGATACTGCTCCCAGCTAGGATACTGCTCCCAGTTAGGATACTGCTTCCAGCTAGGATACTGCTTCCAGCTAGGATACTGCTTCCAGCTAGGATACTGCTTCCAGCTAGGATACTGCTTCCAGCTAGGATACTGCTTCCAGCTAGGATACTGCTCCCAGCTAGGATACTGCTCCCAGTTAGGATACTGCTCCCAGCTAGGATACTGCTTCCAGCTAGGATACTGCTTCCAGCTAGGATACTGCTTCCAGCTAGGATACTGCTCCCAGTTAGGATACTGCTTCCAGCTAGGATACTGCTTCCAGCTAGGATACTGCTCCCAGTTAGGATACTGCTTCCAGCTAGGATACTGCTTCCAGCTAGGATACTGCTCCCAGCTAGGAGGTTCTAAAAGAGCAGCTAGGTGTTTTTATCACTACTTCATTCCATCTCCACAGAGTTGCCTCTCATTGTGTTATGTGTTTACATATACCCTGTTCTTTCACTGTGACATCTGTTCACACATACCTGTCTCATACTTTGACATCTGTCCCCATATGCCTGTCTTGCTTTGTGTCATCTGTTGACACATTCCTGTCTCTCTTTGGTTCATTATTTCACACACAACTGTCTCTCATTGTTTCACCTGTTCACACATTCCTGTCTCTCTCTTTCTCTCTCTCTCTCTCTCTCTCTCTCTCTCTCTCTCTCTCTCTCTCACTCTCTCTCTCTCTCTCTCACTCTCTCTCTCTCTCTCTCTCTCTCTCTCTCTCTCTCTCTCTCTCTCTGTATCATTATTTCACACAGAACTGTCTCTGATTGTTTCATCTGTTCACACATTCCTGTCTCTCCCTATATGATTATTTCACACAGAACTGTCTCTCAATGTTTCATCTGTTCACACATACCTGCTCTCATTGTGACATCTGTTCACTCATTCCTGTCTCTCTCTCTATATGATTATTTCACACAGAACTGTCTCTCATTTTTTCATCTGTTCACACATTCCTGTCTCTCTCTGTATCACTATTTCACACAGAACTGTCTCTCATTGTGACATCTGTTCACACATTCCTGTCTCTGTATCATTATTTCACACAGAACTGTCTCTCAATGTTTCATCTGTTCACTCATTCCTGTCTCTCTCTCTGTATTATTATTTCACACAGAATAGTCACTCAATGTTTTATCTATTCACACATACCTACTCTCATTGTGACATCTGTTCACACATACCTACTCTCATTGTGACATCTGTTCACACATACCTGTATCTCATTGTGACATCTGTTCACACATACCTGTCTCTCATTGTGACATCTGTTCACACATACCGGTCTCTCTTTGTGATATCTGTTCACACATAACTGTCTCTCATTGTGATATCTTTTCACACACACATATTCTCATTGTGACATCTGTTCACACATACTTACTCTTATTGTGATATCTGTTCACACATACCAGTCTTTCATTGTGACATCTGTTCACATATACCTGTCTCTCATTGTTTCATTTGTTTACACACATCTGTCTCTTACAGTGTCATTTGTTTACACACATCTGTCTCTTACAGTGTCATTTGTTTACACACACCTGTCTCTTACAGTGTCATTTGTTTACACACATCTGTCTCTTACAGTGTCATTTGTTTACACACACCTGTCTCTTACGGTGTCATTTGTTTACACACACCTGTCTCTTAAAGTGTTATCTGCTCACACATACCTGTCTCTTAATGCGCCATTTTACACCTAATTAACTATTTCTTACTGTGTCATCTGTTCACACAATTGGTCTGTGTGTGTGTTGAAGTGTGCCTCTTTGTTGTGTCTGTGTGTGTGTGTGTGTTTGTTTAAGTGTGCCTCTTTGTTGTGTATGTGTGTCTGCGTGTCTGTGTGTGTGTGGGTGTGTGTGTGTTTAAGTGTGCCTATTTGTTGTGTTTGTGTGTCTGTGTGTGTGTTGAAGTGTGACTCTTTGTTGTGTATGTGTGTCTGCGTGTCTGTGTGTGTGTGTGTGTTTAAGTGTGCCTCTTTGTTGTGTATGCGTGTCTGCGCGTGTGTGTGTGTGTTTAAGTGTGCCTCTTTTTTGTGTATGTGTGTCTGCGTGTGTGTGTGTGTGTGTATGTAAGTGTGCCCCTTTGTTGTGTGTGTGTGTCTGCTGGTGTGTGTGTTTAAGTGTGCCTCTTTGTTGTGTATGTGTGTCTGCTGGTGTGTGTGTTTAAGTGTGCCTCTTTGTTGTGTGTGTGTGTCTGCTGGTGTGTGTGTTTAAGTGTGCCTCTTTGTTGTGTGTGTGTGTGTGTGCGTGTGTGTGTGTTTAAGTGTGCCTCTTTGTTGTGTGTGTGTGTGCGTGTGTGTGTGTGTTTAAGTGTGCCTCTTTGTTGTGTATGTGTGTCTGCTGGTGTGTGTGTTTAAGTGTGCCTCTTTGTTGTGTGTGTGTGTCTGCGTGTGTGTGTGTGTTTAAGTGTGCCTCTTTGTTGTGTGTGTGTGTCTGCTGGTGTGTGTGTTTAAGTGTGCCTCTTTGTTGTGTGTGTGTGTGCGTCTGTGTGTGTTTAAGTGTGCCTCTTTGTTGTGTGTGTGTGTCTGCTGGTGTGTGTGTTTAAGTGTGCCTCTTTGTTGTGTGTGTGTGTCTGCGTGTGTGTGTGTGTGTGTTTAAGTGTGCAACTTTGTTGTGCATGTGTGTGTGCGTGTGTGTGTGTTTAAGTGTGCCTCTTTGTTGTGTGTGTGTGTCTGCTGGTGTGTGTGTTTAAGTGTGCCTCTTTGTTGTGTGTGTGTGTCTGCGTGTGTGTGTGTGTGTTTAAGTGTGCCTCTTTGTTGTGTGTGTGGTGTGTGTGTGTCTGCTGGTGTGTGTGTTTAAGTGTGCCTCTTTGTTGTGTGTGTGTGTCTGCGTGTGTGTGTGTGTTTAAGTGTGCCTCTTTGTTGTGTGTGTGTGTCTGCTGGTGTGTGTGTTTAAGTGTGGCTCTTTGTTGTGTGTGTGTGTGTCTGCTGGTGTGTGTGTTTAAGTGTGCCTCTTTGTTGTGTGTGTGTGTGCGTGTGTGTGTGTTTAAGTGTGCCTCTTTGTTGTGTATGTGTGTGTGCGTGTGTGTGTGTTTAAGTGTGCCTCTTTGTTGTGTATGTGTGTCTGCTGGTGTGTGTGTTTAAGTGTGCCTCTTTGTTGTGTATGTGTGTCTGCTGGTGTGTGTGTTTAAGTGTGCCTCTTTGTTGTGTGTGTGTGTCTGCTGGTGTGTGTGTTTTTGTGTGCCTCTTTGT